GCGTGGTTCTCATTATATTAGCTTTATGGTGCTCAGTCTTGTGGGATCATTTTTTCTCTTGTGCTAAATATTGGTCTAATTGATTATTCCTCTGTGCGTGTGATTTCCTCCACTTCTCTAGTTGTTGAGAAACTACTCCCCCTTTGTTTTATAACATTGTTTATGGAGATTTTTGCTTTCTCACAGCACAGGTCAATTGCACAGTGGCAATTGTTAGGACCACTGTGCATATTCAGCTAGGGTCGAGGCTCAGGAGGAAAGTTTTCTCTTTATGCACTGCTTTTTCTGTCTTACTGTAGTGTGACTGAGGTTTGTGGAGAGTGGGGGTCAGTGTCTAGCTCACTGGCACCATTAATCTCAACTTCTACCCAATGCTGAAACAATCAGGAAGAAGGTGGGGGAATAGCCGGCTCCTGCCTCCACCTGCCTCTCACCCTCTCTGGTTTCTTCCTACTCCAGTTAAATGAGGCAGCAGAGGCCAGGGAGCGTGACACAGGCTACAGAGGGAGGGTGGCTTGGTGAGGCAGTGGCCATAACTGTGGTGTTTGTCCAGCCTTATTGGAATTGCTTCAGTCCAACCCTTGCCTCCTGAGCTCTCTGACATCCTCTGGGTTAGGTCTAGAGGAGTGAGGCACATCTGTCTCATCAGCCCACAAAACCATGTGAGAGTCAGAACACATACTTGTTAGCCTCTGTTCTCACAAATATTCCATGTGTTATTGGGGGCAAGAGAATGGGTTAAGTTGGTCACCAGGTCACTGGGTGATAACAAGTTAAGAATTAGCTAATTCTTCATGTGTAAAATGTAGGCTTGGATTACATCAGAGTTTTTGAACTGGCACAAATATAAGAATCACCTAGAGCCTTTATTTAAAAACGTAGATTCCGAGCAGAGCTGCTGAAGATGAATGCCAGGGGACTTGGATCTGAGCTGAAGGACAGTTTCCAGTTACAGAACTTTCAGCAAGTGGACCTTTTGAAAGTCATGATCTTCTTCAGAAGGGTTTTTCTTGTGTGAAAAATGAACTTTTGCCTAGTCATCCTCTCGAATTATCAGAAAAAAATTTCCAGCTCAACCAAGATAAAATGAATTTTTCCACTCTGAGAAACATTCAGGGTCTGTTTGCTCCACTAAAATTACAGATGGAATTCAAGGCAGTGCAGCAGGTTCAGCATCTTCCATTTCTTCCAAGCTCAATCTTTCACTGGATATTTTGAGGGGTAATGATGATACTATTGGATTTGAGGATATTCTCAATGATCCATCACAAAGCGAAGTCATGGGAGAGCCACACTTGATGGTGGAATATAAACTGGGTTTACTATAATAGTGTGCTGTTCATGGAAGCTGATGGCTGCATCTTATTTAGAGTCATCTTTTTATTGTAATTTGATGTACACGACATTAAAAGTACTGACATCTGTGAAGTTCTGCTCAAGTAGTATCAGTGATTATTTAAAATTTTGGGAGTCTTTGGTTTACAGCCATGTGACAATTAAAAGCACTAAAGGGAGATCATGTTAAAGCTCTTAATTTGTATTAAAACAATACTCTGTGTCTTCAAAAGAAATTGCTGCTTATGAATATTATAAAACAATCTACGGGTGTCAATTCAACCTGTTTTCTGTAAACTTTTGAATAAGCATTATAAGCATTTGAGTCTATAAACTTTATAGTAGCATCTTTCAGAAGAAACATTTTTAACTGATTTCAGTGGCAACACTTCAAATTGAGTACACTATGAGATATATCAGTATCGTCCATTAACACTCATAGGAATAATATTTACCGTATCAGTGCTATCTTAGGATTATAGCTATTCTTTGATTCTTTCACGTTGAAAAGTAGAAGTTCCAAGGTCTTGATTTTGGTCTGGTCTTTAAGTGAAAAAGCAACCAGTAAATGTAAGTTAAACTTTTACTTCATAGACTTAATATGTAATTAATATATTACCAGGCAACACTGTTAAAGAAAAGTAAAACGCATTTTTTCTTGTTCTTAATTTGTATATTATAAGATGCCATAAAGTATTCTTTATGAACTTGGTGTATAAAAATTTTATATTTTTAGAACATTAGTGAACGGGTCCTCTTTTACAAATAAAAGTATGTTTTGATTAAAAGAAAATAAAAATAAAAAAAATGTAGATTCCAATCTCTCTCCCTTGGAAATTCTTATTCAGAAAATCTGGAGTGAGGCCCAAATTTTGCGTGCTTTTAACAAGAGACCCTCAGGGCCAGGCGCGGTGGCTCACGCCTGTAATCCCTGCACTTTGGGAGGCTGATGCGGGTGGATCACTAGGTCAAGAGATCCAGACCATCCTGGTCAACATGGTGAAACCCCGTCTCTACTAAAAATACAAAGAATTAGCTGGGCATGGTGGCACACGCCTGTAATCCCAGCTACTCAGGAGGCTGAGGCAGGAGAATTGCCTGAACCCAGGAGGCAGAGGTTGCGGTGAGCCGAGATCACGCCATTGCACTCCAGCCTGGGTAACAAGAGCAAAACTCCGTCTCAAAAAAAAAAAAAAAAAAAGCGAGAGACCCCCCAATGTTTCTTATTATCAGAAGTGTCTGAAGATTTATTAAAATTCCCCAAACCCTTAAACTCTACGCTAAATTACTTCGGCCATTGTTCTCTTCTGCCTGCTGTGTCGCTCCTATTTGACAGTGCCCTTCCTCCACTCAGCGTTTCGCATCAGAATCACTTGTGTAGGCTTTAAACACATGCCTGCTATTTCCCAACTCCAGCTAAAATTCACTGGCTGACAAACAGCATCTGCTCTTCAATACTGCCGCTATAATGGATTTTTTTTTTTTTTTTTTTTTTTGGCCTCTTAGCATCCACTCTCCAACCCGCTCCACCTGCTCTTTGCTGAAGAAGGTAAACTTTAAAATTTTTGATTTAATTTTATTTTAAGTTCCGGGATACACGCGCAGGATGTGCAGGTTTGTTACACAGGTAAACGTGTACCATTGTGGGTTCTTTTTTTGTTTTTGTTTTTGTTTTTTTTTTTTTTTTTGAGACGGAGTTTCGCTCTTGCTACCCAGGCTGGAGTGCAATGGCGCGATCTCGGCTCACCGCAACCTCCGCCTCCTGGGTTCAGGCAATTCTCCTGCCTCAGCCTCCTTAGTAGCTGGGATTACAGGCACGCGCCACCGTGCCCAGCTAAGTTTTTGTATTTTTAGTAGAGACGGGGTTTCACCATGTTGACCAGGATGGTCTTGATCTCTTGACCTAGTGATCCACCCGCCTCGGCCTCCCAAAGTGCTGGGATTACCGGCTTGAGCCACCATGCCCAGCCCCATTGTGGTTTGCTGCACCCATCAACCCATCACCTAGGTACTAAGCCCCAAATTCATTAGCTGTGTATCCTGTTGCTCTCTCTCCCCCCACTCCCCTTACAGGCCCCAGTGTGATTTGTTCCCTGTGTCCATGTGTTACTGGAGCAGGTGAACTTCAATGATGCATTAAAGAGATTCTTTGCCCTCTGACTTCCAGTTGGGTTTAGCCAATGGGAGGCATCAACAAGGGAGTAGAGAATGGGAGAAGAACAACGTTGGAAGGAGGAACGACCCCTTCACCTCCTGATGACTTACCGGATCACTGTGTGTTACCTATGTCCCTCTGCTACATCCCGCAGCCTTGTCAAGGGCCCCTCCTTCATTATTTGAGCTGATATTTCAGGGCTGCCTCAGGCCCAGGTTTGGCAATGGCTCCCGTGCTGTTTCTAGTCCCAAGTTACTGTACTAGCCTTTGTAGATTGCCACTCACTTTCCCAAGCCTGTGTAAATAGTCCCTTTGTTAAACCTTTCCTTACTTACCCCACTTGGGGTTGTCATCGCTTTGCTTTCAGGACTCAGATGAGAACAATGATTTACTTTATGTCTTTCATATGTGTTGTCCATACATTGAGGAGTTTATTTCTTATTTAAAATAATAGAATGATAGGAATAGTAATGATAGGATTCTAGATATTGGAAGGGCTTTCAATTATGTCTACCCAGCTTACCCCCAAATGCTGGACCCTGGCATGAAAGAACTCTGCTTCTTTCTGCCTCACCATTACTTTTTAAACAAGATCTGGTGCATTCAGGTTGTTACAGCTCTGGACCATCACAACTTTTCAAATATTTGCTGGCGATGAACGTTTTCTTCTTTCAGCTAAATGTTATCAGTTCCTTCAACAATTCCTCATGTAGCATAGTTTCTAGATTCTTCTTTATTTAGCCGTTGGATATGTTTCTTTGAGCGCATTCTGTTTCGTCAACGTCATTGCTTCGTTTTTAAAGAAATATTTGCAAAGTAAGCCAAATGTGAACAGGGTCTCACCCAGCTGGAGAAGAAGCCAGTCTTCCCTGACTGGGATAAACTGAAGACACCGGCTGTCAAATGGAGCAGCTGACTTGAAGGACAAGGATTAGCTTTGGAAGGAGACAAAATACGTGCCTGGGTGGAGGCAGGAATTCCTGCTGAAGGAGGAAGCACACATTTCCACTGGGCCTCTTCACATGTCATGGTTCCACTTTTGAATCTAGACCTCACTTTTTCTTTTGTACTTCTAATTTTCTGGCCAGAAAACGACTTGATCATTCGTGTGAAATGATTAACACAGACCCTGTAGCAGCCACAAGTCTTTGCGTGCTGCGCTCCCCTAAGACCACAAAGTCACAGAATTTATCACTACCAAGAACCTTAGATTATCTGATTCAGGTAAACCTGAAGGCACAAAGGGTGAGCTCTTTTCCAAAAATTACATAGCAATTGACTGGTAGAGACAGGATTAGAACCTGAATCTCTTGCGTCTGTATCATCCTGTCTCTCTCTTTGGTTAATTTACTCCATTCTTTTACCTCAGATTTCAAAACTGAAATGAAATTCATACTGTTAGTTCCAAAGCATCCAAGTCACACAGAGGCAGCATCTGAGTTGCACAATTGCCTTGAAAGTATTGGGGAAAGGTCGGTATGAGCACATCACATTGACACAACCTCAGAGGTGAAGCAAACCATCATTTTATTTAGAGGGTCAACTGCCTATCATTTGCATATGAGTCTAAACCTTATAAGATATCAATATTTTCAATTTGACAGTTTAAAGGTGATTTACTACAGACATACGCAAAGCACTCAATTGTGTGTAACTCCTGTGACTCCCATTTTAAGCCATTGGACGAAATAATTTCATTATGGAAATGCTGTGGAAGGAAACTTTCCTAACCAGAGTATCGAAAAGAAGGCTCACATTGTCAGAATTCTGAGTTTAAATCTCCAGTTCCTCACCAACTTAGAACCGTACAATGTAGAGCTGCACGAGACTGCTGGAATAACCCAGCTCAATAAAATGTAGACCCAGAAAGTATACAGTTTACAAACCTAAGCATTCACATCTTAATTCTATGCTGTTTTGCAAGCACTGCACTCATTTCCTGGATGGCTGTGCCTTCTTTGTTTAACTGGTGCTCAGAACACGGCATCAGATATTTCCATGTAGCATTTAATACGACTTCACCGCCATGCAAGGTAAATATCTCCTTTGGTAAGTAAGAGACGGGGAGTGACACGAATGTTGTCTTAAGGGGAGAAATGCCAAATGTGGGTGAAGGGGAGAAGCAAAGCAAAGCACACTGCCATGTGCGTACCTACACAACTGTCTTTCACGCTCTGCTCATGTACCCCAAAACCTAAAATCCAATAAAAAATTTAAAAAAAAAAAGTCTGCTATTAATCGTAATTGACGCCTAGCAAAAATAGATTTAAAGGACTTACACATAAACAAAATGTAGAGAAATACTGATGACTTCTAACAAGCTGGTAGGAAAAGGTGGTCAAGTTTGAAATGCATCCACTATTTTGAGCTGTACTCCAAGAGAGATTCTGACAGAAAGAGAACTCTTAGTAGTAACTGATCGGAAATGACCTTGAAAGTCAAAGAAACCACTTCCAATCAACTGAATTTCAAGACTCTGGCAGATCAACAGGGCAAAATCAACAGGGCAGGCGCAACCAAAATTACAGCAGATGTCGTTGAGAGTGGCCGAACCTCTGGCACCTCAAATAATCCCAAACTGAGCGAGCTCATGCAACTCCAGGTGGCTGAATGCCTCCCACGGGCAAATCACTGTGATATCTGCAAGAGATGGAAGAAGAGCATGTAAGCCAACCTCTCCCCAAAGACAGCCTCTTCACAGAACGTTGCCCTTCAGGCAGACACACTTCACTCCTCTCTCCTGCTCACTGTCCCCTGACTGGGAAGTCACCTACAATGGCCCTGCAGCCCAGGAAGGATCAGACCACTTGCTTAATTGTTGTGCCAGGCATCTCTATTGGTTTCATTCTGCTTCCTCTTTGGGGAGGTGATCCACAGCTTTTGAGTGAGGGTTTCCCTGTGGGGTACAGCCCACTGATCACACAGAGTCTCCCCCAAGCACAACCACTAAGGAGGAAGCAGAAGTGGAATTCTAGTCAGGCCAAGGGTTAAAATGAACAAGAGGAGTGCTTTGAATCCCCATGGTCTAGGTATTCAGTCTTCCCTACCAATCTAGATCGGTCCCTTCTCTACTTGTTCGTCTGCTCCTTTATATGTTGAGTTGCCTATACACAATCACATATTGAGAAATAATCGCAAGGCATCTTTTAGTCTAGATTCTTGTTTTAGGCAATAAGATACTACTACCCCTGAGTTACAGAGAAGCTTGCTGACACCCAGAGAGATGGAATAATTAGCAAAACCCACAGAGTTGTAGAGATAAACGACTAGAACGAGGTCTCTGCTCCGTATAAACCTCTTTACATTATTCCAAATGCACTGTCAGAGTCAAGCGTATCTTCCAGGTCCCAAAGCAAATTGGCTGGTCTTGTATGCACCTTGCCAAAATATGAAAGCAGTTAGTCTAGGAGACTAGCAAATATACTATTAATGCGGCTGGAAAATTCATTCGAGATGCCAGGAGTGGGATTAGGCTGCAGGAAGAGACACTGAGGATTACCTGGGAAGGACACTGATTACTGCAAGTGCTGCTGTTTATCAAAGCCGTGTTGGATGATTTCAAAATATGTCCATACAAAAGCCTGTACATAAATATTTAGGGCCATTTTATTCATTCTTGCCAGAGCTTGGAAGCAACCAATATACCCTCCAATAGGATAAAGAACGGTGTACATCTCTACAATGAAGTATCATTCAGTGATTTAGAAAACTGAGCTCTCAAGCCATATAAAAACATGAAGAAACCTTAAATGAATATTGCTAAATGAAATAAGCTAGTCCAGAAAAGCTATATACTGTATGATTCTAACTATATGAGATTCTAGAAAAGGCAACACTATAGAGACAGCAAAAGGGTTAATGAATGTCAGCGGTTTTGAGAGAGAGAAGGATGACTAGGTGGAGCATCGGGCAGCGAAACCATTCCGTATAATACGGTATGTACTATATTAAGTATTATAATGGTGGGTACATGGTATGATGCATTCATCAAAACCCTTAGAACTTTACAACACAAAGGATAAACCCTAATATAAGCTATGCACGTATTAATATACTGCATCAATATTGGCTCATCAAATATAGTCACACTAATATAAGATGTTAGTAATAGAGGCAACTGTGTAAAAGGGGAGGGAGGTGGCAGAGAAGACATATAGGAACTCTGTACTTTCTGCTTAATATTTTGGAAAATAAACTTCTCCAAAAAATAAAGTCTATTAATGTTTTTTAAAAATACACAGTAACTGCATTCATTGTATAATAAAAGGACACGGTAGCTAGTTTTAAAAACTATATTGCAGGCATTCAGTGTGTGAGCTCCTCCTCTGGATGCTAGAGGATGTGTAAGAAGAAGTTGGTAAGGAAGTGGTCTGCGCGGTAGAGTGGAGAGATGTCCAGACCTCACCCTTATTTCCAATAGTTCACCCTGTAGCCACAGACAAAAGATTGTCAGTTCCTCTATGTCCCAGATTTCTCTCCTGAAAAATGAAGTTGGGCTAGATGAATTATGACATGCTCTCTACCATAAAAGCCTGTAATTCATCATTAGATGCCCTCAAAGACTGTTTAACAAAACAAGAGGATTTATGATACTTTGGGCCTGCCCCGATTTCTTTTAGTGTTTTTGTATCTGAGCACACATGTACTTATTTACAAGGGTAAATTAAATCCCCACATTTTTATGTCCTCACAGATCTTCTGCCTTCGGTATTTCTCATAGTTTTCAACTCCTCCTTGAGGCTTGAAGTGTATAAAAAGGCAGAACTCCTAGTGCCAAGTTCTCACTTAACTCAGCGGACGGCTTACCTGTTCCGAGCCCCTCCATTCCTGGAATGTCATCTCCAAATCTGTGGAGAAAATAAAGAGGAAATTAGCTGAGATTAGGGCAAAATAATTTTGGGGTTACTCGCACGTAGAGTTTCTGGATTCAAGGGGGAAGAAGGAGATGGATGTTTAAGTGTTTGTGTTTGAGAGACTCCTTTCGTTTGCATGAACTGGACCAAAGAAAATGTCACTCAGGCAGTTTTGGTGTATCCCAGGGGAGAGGTCTTTCTCTCCTGCAGGAACTCAACCTAAAACAATTAAGAGTCAGAAAAAAATAATCAACTTAATGAAGTTTCACTTTTTGTAATAAAAACTGAAATGAGAAAGCAATATGAAAGAAAATAAAAATGATGAATTCATCTACTTGTTTACTTGTTCAAAATCATTAACTATGTCTACTATATACTAGACATTTTATGAGGCACAGAGAGTTAAGAAAAAAACAGACAAAATTCCTGAGGGGTCTTAGTCTCAGAAAATAGATACAAATAAATAAATATAAGATAATGTAAGTTAAGATAGCTGAAGGTACAAAATGCAAACATGAAAGTAATGATAAAGTTTGTTAAAGAGAGTCAATGGGCCAGGCACGGTGGCTCATGCCTGTTATTCCAGCGCTTTGGGAGGCCAAAGCGGGCGGATTCACCTGAGGTCAAGAGTTTGTGACCAGCCTGGCCAACAGAGTGAAAGCCCATCTCTACTAAAAATACAAAAAATTAGCTGGGTGTGTTGGCGGGCACCTGTAATCCCAGCTATTTGGGAGGCTGAGGCAGGGAGAATTGTTTGAATCCAGGAGGCGGAGGTTGCAATGAGCCAAAATGGCATCACTATACTCCAGCCTGGGCGACAGAGCAAGACTCCATCTCAAAAAAGAAAAAAAAAAAAAATAGAGAGAGAGAGTCAGTGGTAGCTTCAAAAAGAAATTAGCATATGAGTTGTGTGTGTTGAAAAATGAATAGGATGTTGCCAAGGAGACGAAGAGGAAAATGAAGAAGAGAGGATATAAACTAGGCAGACGTAAACATAAGCTGTATCTTCTGGGACGGTCAGTGGTTCAGTGTTACAGACTAAAGCAGAGGTTATGTCAGTAAAGAGGAGTGCTCGTAAGAGGCCTGGAAGGCTGTCCAAGTTTACTGTAGCAAAAGCCTCCATTTACCGTGTTAATTTCTGCCACAAACCTGGAAGTTGAGAAGGAAAGAATTCCAGGGATAAAGACACAATTCATCAAAGATCGAATTCCAGAGGAAAAGAGAGGATGGGGTGGACATTTTTGTAAGGCTGTTTAATATCGTGAGCACGAGTTTCTCAAAACAGAAGCCATCATGTGGGGAAAAGAAAGGAACAGAAAGGTTTTCTTTTCATTTTGTTCTTACCCTTTCACACCTTTCTTTGGAGGTTTACTCTTGAATTGGCGAGTCTGCCTCTGCTTGAACTTGGGGGGGCCTTTGCGTGGGGTGGTAGGACCCTGGTTTGAAGCTGGAGCAGCCAGAACAGTGTTGTCACTCATTTTAACAGCCCCGGGCACCTGATGTTTCCCTTTCAGCCTCCTTAGACAACGAGAGAGAGAAAAAAAGATCCTTCAAGTCATGGAGACCACTGGTTATTAGATCTTTATTTTAGGCTGGAGAAGAAAAGTAGTTCAATAAGAAACCTCAGTATTTTGTGTTGACGCAAAAGAGAAGTTATCATCTTCTCAAAGGAGCTTTTGAAAAACAGCGTATAAATCCATGCAGGCACCCAATGTAATGGAGTGTAAACTTACACAATCTATTGGTTGCGTAAATGGACAATAGGTTTTAAAATTTAAAAATCTAAGTAAATATGCTGTTCCAATGGATCTACCACTGAAAAAAATTAAAAATTAAATTAAAGCTTCACATTGGGCATAAAAAATTAAAATGAAAATCAAAAAATAAATAAATAAAATAGAGCAGCCACGAGCATTCCATGTGGATTGACTGTGATGCTGTATCTCCCTGTGACAGCCAGTTCCACCAGTTATAAAGAGAGGCGAATACACTCAGTGGTCTCTGTAGCCTTATAGCACCTGCAATCTCTTTAAGCTTTTCATATTCCTCCATCCAGCTGTAAAATAACCTGGCTCCAAATGTTGCTTCAGTATTTTTCATGGCCTATGTTTTATAGTCCTTAAAGTCCTTATAGTCTAAGATAGGATTATTTTGTTTAATTCTCGTGTGAACCAGAAAGTTTTCTCTTAGTTCTGGGAGATGACAATGTCGTCAGAGGACCCCTGAAGCAGGGATACCAACACCCATGAACATATTCAATATGTCTTAATACACAAGCATGTGGAGAAGGTAATGCAGGAGGACTGAGTAATACATTTGTGCGTTTCAACTCTACCTCCAGACGTAAGATTCTTCAGCCCCCTTTTTCACAAATCTCTGATGCTTTCTTCTATCTATACATAGGACCTATTCGATATGGTTTCTCAGACTTTTTATTCAGCTACAGAAATGCACATTGCTATTCTTCAAATACAAATCAAAGAAAATTATTGAGAAAGATAAATTTTAAACATCATGCCATTTTGGATGACATTATTTTCTTTCATAAGAGTTAACAACACTTGCTCTTGGAAAGATCCTGAGAGTCCCGAAGAACTCCAAATTGCTTTCGCCTCTTACCCTGAGCCAATCTCTTCCATAAAATCTAGTGCATGGGTGACCTGTCTGCAGAGGATTCCTTATTTTACCCATTACAGATTGATGCTAATATTCTTTTTTTTTCTTTTAAGAGAGACAAGTTCTTGCCCTTCTATGCAGGCTGTAGTGAAGTGGTACCATTGCAATCATAGCTCACTATAGCCTCAGACTCCCAGGCTTAAGTGATCCTCCCACCTCAGTCTCCCAAAGTGCTAGGTCTGACCCACCACAGCAGCCTGTGCTAATATTGTTCACTGCAAACCTCCCTGACTGTCTTTGGCTCATGCTAACAATGACTCTCCTTACTGGCCACACTGCATATCCCTTAAGCTTTATATTCTATAACTTCAAGTTCATACTGCTTTCTTATTTCTTTCAAAATTGAGCTGCAATTAGTATCCTCACCTCCAATATTTTTTTCTTATTTAAATTCTGATTATTATTAAATTATTCTCCTTGCCAGTACCAGGAATGGAGAGACTGGCCGGAACCTGGACCACCCGCCCATGCTGTGATCCCTGCCTTTATCCCCTACTAGAATCGTTTCATGAGGCTGCCTTTCCAGTCCCAGAGACTACAGCAGTGCCAGGGCCTGGTATATAGTGACCATGCCATATATATTATATTTGTCAAATGATTTAATAAGTTAATTTAGAAATTGAACAAACACCCTAAACCTTCATGAGATCCTGACTTTCTGATGTCTCCATCAGACCACGGAGAAGTCATCAGCTTTCAGGCTTTAGGAAATGCACTGCCAGTGCCTCTACTCACGAAACTCAGTTCCCATTCTGTGGGCCATCTCCAGCCCTGGTCCACAGGCAAACTTTCTGCCTCTCCTAAGTGTGGTTGGGACCCTGGGAATCGCTGTTGAGCAGCCAAGATCAGTGCTGTGCTCAGAGTGGACAGCAGTAACTGACACATCCCAGCCCTGACAACGTCACAGAAGGCAGTCAGAGAATTTCTCTCAGATGAAGATTTTTTAACTGTTCAGGATTTTCAAGATAGGAGAAATCACAAACTTTCTTTTCTCTCATCTGAGGAACTATTAGGGTTAGAATTGCCAGATTGAGCAAAAAGAAAAAAAGGAAGAAAGAGAAGAAAAAGAAAGAAAGAAAAGAAAGAAAGAAAGAAAGAAAGAAAGAAAGAAAGAAAGAAAGAAAGAAAGAAAGAAGACATCCAGTTCCATTTGAATTTCAAAGAAATAATTTGTTTAGTAAATTATATCTCAGCTATTTCATGGTACATATTTATACTTTAAAAAATCATTTTTTTCAGGAATTCAAATTTAACTGGCATCCTCCATTTTATCTGGCAGCCCTAATAAGATCCAATTATATTGGATACAGAGTTTTCTCATGTAAGGGCCTAAAGTGGCCCTAACTGGTTAACTTGCTCTTTGGCGGTAACCCCGTATAGAGTATACTCTTTAGACTCAAACTGATGTAGTTTTAGTTTCCCACTCCACAGAAATGGCTACGTGACTTAGGATAAGTTTCACAATCCTCTGTGGGTCTTATTTCATCTGTAAAATGAATCAAAGAATACCTTTGTTTTACTGTTACGGGAAAATTTTAAGAAGACAGTACAAGTAGACTGGCACTAAGTGTTCAGAAACAACAAATATATGCTAGACCTTCCGAGAGAAAAGAAAGCCACACAGACAAATCTGTGGTATGACACTTGTTCACCTGGACTCTGCCCCTCTTTCCTCTGGGCCAGCTGCGGAAGAGCCCTTGCCATGCACCAGAGGGGCAATTGTCATCCACACTTGCTGGCTAATCCTCTGCTTCCTTCAAATGCCCCAACTGTTAACTTATTTCTGGTCTTAAAATTCTGTCTGAAGAAGCCTTCCTTGAATCCCTTTGACACACCTAACAGCAACCCCAAAGAATTTAAAAACCACACGTGACATCCATATTCCCCTGATGATACATCCCCTCTTTTCTTTCAAGTTTCTTCTGCATGTTTACATAATGTTGAAGTTACCCCTCCGGGCTTAGACAGTGCTCACGTCTAAGTCTGATGCCTTATATGAGAGAATCCTCCTCAGAAAGAGTTACATAACAGTTACAAAGTTAATCCCTTGATCCTAATGGTGCTCAGGATTTGCACTAGGTAACCAGAGCAGTCGGCTAATCCCTATGCAGTTTCTGTCATAGATTTACCCTCCAATTCCCTCCGCAAAACCTTGAGGAAGGGTAGAACAACCATGACCTTTTCGTGCATTGGAAGCCAGTCCTGTTGCCCATAAGCACCACTGAACGCTAACCTCATCCTGACCACACTTTTCTAGAAATTCCAAGGGCACCTGGAGCTGAATAATCCTAAATGTATTATCAGACATTACTCTAGCTGAAAGAAGTTTCACATTTTTTCCTCCAAAATAGTCGAGCAACTTATTCCGTGGCAAGGTAGAACATTTTACTGTTTTTAAAGCAATGCTAGTCAGTCCCCTTTTGAAGATTACAGACTGTTTACCTGCAGAATAAGTGGATGCAGCAAAGTAATATTTCAAGGCATACTTTTGTAGGGGACTGGGGTTAGGGTCAACTTAGCAGAGTTAAAGACCGGTATAAAGCAGCAAATCAGGGCCAGGTGCGGTGGCTCATGCCTGTAATCCCAGCACTTTGGGAGGCCGAGGCGGGTGGATCCCGAGGTCAAGAGATCGAGACCATCCTGGTCAACATGGTGAAACCCCGTCTCTACTAAAAATACAAAAAATTAGCTGGGCATGGTGGCGCGTGCCTGTAATCCCAGCTACTCAGGAGGCTGAGGCAGGAGAATTGCCTGAACCCAGGAGGCGGAGGTTGCAGTGAGCCGAGATCGCGCCATTGCACTCCAGCCTGGGTAACAAGAGCAAAACTCTGTCTCAAAAAAATAAAAGGCAGCAAATCATCTTCTGTTGCTTTATACAGCAAAGGCCAGCTGTATACAATGGCAGGGGATGATCCTTCATAAATTCCAAGTAAAGAAAAGCAGTTTTAGAAGATCCCTGAGGCAGCCTCTCTGATGCGGCTGTTATCACTTTAAATTTCCAGTTCTGTTCTTCTCGGCAAAGATATAGACAGATAGACAAGTCCATTGTTGGTGGACTGAGAAAGAGGCTGGAGGGAGCTAGGAAGGGAAGTACCGCGGGGGTTGAGCCAATAAATATCACCCAGGGTCCTGCTGAGGCAGAGAAAATCACTAATTTGAAAAGCAAAGCAAGACCCAAACCAAAGTCATTAAAAAAAAAATTACCGACAATCCAGCCAGCACCCTGCTTCAGAGCAGAACAAACAAACACTTTGACCTCAAAGGGAGGCGGCTCAGCCACCTGCACTGCCCTGCGGTCATTGTCAGGCTCACTCTCAGTGCCCCTTCTCTTTTCCCTAACACTTACACTAGCCCACTGGTGCCTGGGCCAAGTTTGCTAGCACATCCTGGGAGTAAAGAACTGTTTTCTCTGTGGTTATTTAGTGCCACAGACTCCTCCTTCGTCATAAACTGTTTACTATGAAGCTGCAAACAGGGAGGGTCACTACTGGCTCCTTGCAAATGAATTCAGCAATCAAGCTTTGCAGTGACCTTGTAATAATCAAGTTTTGCTTATTTGCTTGTCCCTTGGCATAACAAGAAGGTCTGAGTGTATCTCCTTCCTGTTCTTTCCTGTTTTCAGCCCCAGCCTCAGCTCAGGCCCAAAGGTCCAACACGTTTTCTTCTCCCTTTTTTTTTTTTTTTTTTTTGAAGCCTGATGAACCCCCCAAACCCCTTCAATTGTATCCTGTGCAAATTCACCAGAAGTTCAGAAATACTCACAGAGCTGAATGGTGTGCCTGTCAGCTGCCCAGCTGCCTTCTTCGCAAAAGACAAAAGGATCTTTGCATCCTGATTTATCTCTCTGTAATACCCTCATGCTGCCCTAATCTCACCGTCATAAGCTCAGAACAACAACCCAGGTGCAAAGAAGTCAGGAGAGCATGGGGTGAGGCTGGGATAGGCTTAGGAGTTCTCTGATAATTAGAGGCCCTTTCAAAACTGAGTTGGGCTCCCTCCAGTCACTAAACAAGTATTGTATTCACAGACACACAAAAAGTGTTGCTATCCAAGGGTAAATTTCAGTTTGTGATTTAATATCTTCTGTCTTTTTTTATTCTCACCTTTAGTTTTTGCTACCCCCATTTCTTCCCTTTCCCTGATGAACACACACCTATGCACACAATCACACATACCCATATGTACAGTGACAGAATTCTTACGGGACTCTAGAGAATAAGAGAGAAGAGGGGGAGCCACAGTGTCCCCTGCTATAGTGGGGACATTGAACATGTGGGCAGTGACACTGGGAAATACATGGTGTCTCTCCCTAACCGGCATTGTGTGTATTTCCTCAGAGAGACGGAACTTTAGGGTTAAAAATTGTATCAAATTCAGTGACATCTGACAGAGAAAGGGCCCAAATGGCAGCTAGGAATTGTTAACTGAGGACATTTATTTGAGAATCGATTGCTGGGTCTGCCATACCTAAATGTTTCAGGCTGTAGGGTCTAGGGTACAATCCAATTTACTGAGATCCTCGACTCAGTCTCCCCATTATATTGATCCACTAGTATTAATTAGTATAGCACTTTACACCATTTCAAATAGAGCTCAACCCATATGCTAGTTATCATTAAGCTCTTTTGACAAATTTATCATAGAAAGATTAAGTGACTTATTCAAGGTCAAAAATAAAATTAATGATGGAGCCAGGAACAGGGCCCAAATCTGAGAACAATTGTCTTTGTACTATACTACATCAAAGCAGATGTGGACCAAGATGTCTGTTATCTGGTCACTTTAATAGCTTGTCAGTGAATTTCAGTGTGCCTTCCCCAACGGTTACCTATTAGAGAACTACACTCCATACGATTAGAGAGAAAGAAGGTCAATTTATCCTTCCTAGACAGGGAGAGATTCTTAACCTTCACACCTAAGCAGATTACATGATCAACTAAACAGCTTAAGAGTCGTTCATACGCTCTCCCATGGTCTTTACCAAAATTCCTCTGAGTTTTGAAGGCAACAAATATCTCGCAAAGCCAGGACAGTGTTTGATCTCTGGGTGGGTCCTTCTACTGTCTTCTTGCATCTCCATTACCATCCACATCTTCCTTTACTGTTACAAACTGGGCACATGAATGTTTAGGTACCTATCTGTCAAACTTTTACATATTCTCCATTTTCCTGATGAAAGGATACAAATTTTTAAAATGTGGGAAGTGCCATAAGCTGAGTGAATGTTCTAGAATGTTGGTACTCAAAGTGCAGCCACAGCAACACCATCTGTGTCCTTGTTAAAAATGCAGGATCTCAGCCCTGCTCCATCTGCATTTTAACAAGGTCCAAGGTGATGTGTTTGCATATTAATGTTTGAAAAGTACTGTTTTATGTTTAATGTTTAAAAGAACCGCAAACCCATATGCAGGCTTGGGTTTACCATTTATCTGCTATGTGAAAAAATTGTCACCTCTCGGAGTCTTGGTTTTCTCATATGTAAAATGGATGATTTAGAGTGTCAGGGTTCTCAATTTTTTTTCCACCCCAGTGCACTTGAGAAAGATCATCTTGCTATTCTCAATGTGGAGTATGGACGTGGTTGTGCCGTAATTCTTCTTCCTCCAAAGGAAATCCAGGAGAGTGAAGAGTGAGTGGTTAGGGTGTGGCAAAAGTCTAGGTGTAGAATTTGAATAATTCTTCTAAAGCTACTCTGATATGATTCTCAGGGGTTTCGAATTAGAAAATTCTTCAATTGCTCTACAGTCTTAAAAATCTATGTTCCTTCTTGTTTTGGACGAAGTCAAGTAGACACATTTCCTCTCATGCCTCTTGCTAAATACAGCTAAAAATCCTGGATATTATATATGAAAGAAACATGGAATATTACAAATTATTTGAGAGAAGGAAAACCAAATAGAGACTTTAGATGCAAGGAACCATGTCAGTAAGTTTCCTGAATTTTCTTTTTGTTTTGTGTATCCTGATGTAGATGTAGGAAAAGACAGTAACCCAAAAACATCAAGAGGAGTGAAAAAGCAAAAACTCTCCCCCGAAGCCTGTTTTCTCTAGACAGGTGACCAGTAGAGTGGCAACCCAGCATGACAAAAAACATTTAAACAAAAACCACTCTACTCCAGTCAAACACCATGGAAAAAAAAAAACGTGACATGACTCAGAAAAGGCTGAGTGGAGAGCCAAGACTTTCATCTTGATTCAGCCATGATGGGGTGACTTTCTTCCACCTTAGCTGGGTAGTATCAGAGAAAGCCACACTGGGACCTTGGACTTTCATCTCCAACCAGTCATAATGAGACCACCTTCTTCTCCCTACCAGAGTGGTATCGAAGAAGCCCAAGCTGGAAATTTCACCTCCATTCAGAAATAACGCAGCATGTAAAAAAAAATAAAATAAAGATTTTAGAACTAAAAAATAGAATAACCAACATAAAAAAACTCAATGGATGGGCTCAAAAACAGAACGGAGAAAAAAGAGGAAGGAATCAGTGAACTTGAAGGTAGAACAATAGAACTTGCCTAATCTGAACAAAAGTCAGAAAATAAACCCACCCCCCAACAAAAAAAGTAATAGAACGATCTGTGAGACTAAAGGGCCTAATTATGTCATCAGTATCTCAGAAGGAAGGAAGAAAAGAGGAGAAGATTAAAAAGTACTTGAAGCAATAATGGCTAAAAATTTTCCAAATGTAGTGTAGGACATAATTGTATAGCATCAAGAAGGTGGGGAACCCCAAGGGGATAAACTCAAAGAAATCTGCATCAAAATACATCACTGCCAAACTTCAGAAAACTAAAGACAAAGAAAAAAATTAGAAAGCAGTGAAAAAGAAAACACCTTATCTGTAAGAGAAATAACTCAACTGACAGCAGATTTCTCATTAGAAACCAGGAAGACTAGAAGGATATGGCACATTTTTCACGTCCTGAGAAAAAAAGAATTGTGAACCCTGACTTCTATGTCATGTGAATTTATCCTTCAGGAATGAAAGGGAAATAATGGCATCCTCAGACAAAGGAAAACTAAGAGAATCTATCATCAGAAGACCTACTCTAGAAGAATGACTAAAGAAAATTTTTGAAACAAAAAACAAATGATAAAAGAAAGAATTTTAGACTCTCTGAAAAGAAAAACAGAAGATAAGAAACTCAGCCACCTTCGGCAAGGCTTGGTGGAGAAAGCAACATTGTTCAAGACACTATGAGGTTCTAAGGGTTTGGCCATCATCTTGGATCAGAGATTCATCCACCGTTCCCTGTTTCAAGTTGCTGCTCTTCCTGTTCATACAACTCTGGCTTCTACTGACTCTCAGAGGATTGGTGTAGGCTGGCCAAGCAGCAACCAATACACACTATCTCTGTTGGATGGAGCTCTTTTACCAGATACCTTCATAGGTCATTGCCTAGTCTAGTGATGGCTGATTTCCGGTAGTTATCTCTCAACTTATCAACCAGGTAATGGAGCTATACGGTTCTAAGCAAAATGACCAATCTCAAAGGAATTCCTCCAAAAGAACTTTGGTGTGTTGAACACTCTAAGCTTTTACAGAAACGAGAAATAAAACTAATGGGAAACTCACTGATGATAGATTCAATAACATAAATAGATCGCAGAAATATTTTGCTAAATGAAAAAGTCCACAGTCAAAAGGGAGAATACAATTTGACTTCATTTGTGACATTCTGGCAAAGCAAAACTATAGGGTTGGAGAATAGATCACTGGTTGCTAGGGACTGTGATTGAGTGATGTTGACTCCAAAAAGAAAAATACGAGAAATTTTATGAGCAGTGATGGAATTATTTGGAATTCTGATCATAGTGGTGCATATACAACTTGATGCATTTGTCAAAACTCATATGCCCATCACAGGGACTAAGCTCTACTGTATGCAAATTTTACAGCTAGATATGATAAAATTATTTTTTTTAAATCTGTATCTCATAGCCCTATAACTTTTGGTTCCTGATCCCTTCCGACAGAAGGAAAAGTATTATTAATTATATATTGGAAAGTAGACTGCAGGTAGTAAGTAATTAGAAAGTAATTAAAATTTAGCTGTCCTTTAGCTGCTTATGCAAGTGCTAATTTCTAATCTTTCTTTAGTGCTTCTTAAAATACCAGTGAGTGGGAAGACACATTAAAGTCACATTTCCTATAATGACTGAACTTCCCACTCTGACTAAGGCATAGTGGACTCCAGAGGGGAACACACTAAACATGAAAAAGAAATATACAAGCCTGGCTCCTCTTTCCTCTAAATACCTTATGTTTGATTCTCCAGAACAACATTAGTCTTGGAAAACAGTTAAGAATTAAAAATACAATATTATTTTCCAGAAAACGGATAAGAGGAGAAACACTGCTCAACTCATTTCGTGAGACCTATTTTACAATGACACCAAAACCAGACAAAGACAATTAAAAAGGAAATTACAAACCAGTATCTCTCATAAATCTAGATGAAAAAATTCTTAACAAAATATTATCAAATCAAAAACAGCAATGTATAAAAATAATAACATACTGGGGATCAGGTGGGATTTATTTCAGCTTTCAAGGCTTTTTAAATATTCAAAACTTAATCAACATAATCCATTATATTAACAAGCTAAAGAAGAAAATCACATGATGATATCAATTGATGAAGATATGATTAACAAAATCTAAAACCCATTAATGATAAAAACTCTCAGCAAACTAGAAATAGGAGAACTAGGAATTGTATGAGAATCGGATTCTCATAAAGAATCTTTGAAAACCTACAGATCAATGAAACAAAGTAGAAAACCCAGATACAGACCTCTACAAATATGCCCAATTAATTTTTGACAAAAGGGACAAAAGCAATTCAATGGGAGAGGGATAATCTTT